TAAGACATCGGTAGACGTAAGTCTACATTTGACCAGGAATAATGGTAAGAGTGTTTCTCAGCTAGAATATTCTCTAGTCATTGGAAGTTTGATGTATCTGATGAGTTGTACAAGGCCGAATATAGCCTACTCTATTAGCAGGCTTAGTAGATACACGAGTAATCTGAATGCTACTCATTAGAGGGGTATTATGCGGGTGTTAGGTTATCTACGCTACACCTAGGGTTATGGGCTGCATTATAGCAGATACCAAATGTACTAGAAGGGTATAATGACATTAATTGGATATCTGATATAAAGGACTCCAAATCTACTAGTGGTTATGTGTTTACCCTCAAAAGGGCAGTCGTGTTTTGGAAATCTTCCAAGCAAACGTGTATATTGAGATCAATGATGGAATTTGAGTTTATTTCTTTAAATAAAGCAACTGAAGAAGCTGAATGGCTTCACTAGTTCATTGAGGATATTCCACGTTGGCCGAAACATGTGCCTGCTATCTGTATTCATTGTGATAGCCAATCGGGGATTAGATGAGCACAGAGTCCTATGTATAATGGAAAGTCTAGACATATCTGCCATAGACATAATTTCATATGACAACTACTCTCTAATGGAGTTGTCTCTCTAGACCATGTAAAGTCTAAGGACAACATTGCGAATCTTCTAACCAAAGTGTTAACTCGAGAGTTAGTAGAAACGTCGTCAAGAGAAATGAAGTTAAGGCTTTTAGTAATGTTACAGGAACAGAAATCCAACCTAGTTGACTGGAGATCCCAAAATTTAGGTTCAAAGGGACAACCTAATTTCGAGTAACGGGTGAGTCACTGAAGAGGTAAATCCTCTAGCCCATTCCTTTGTATAGTGATACCTTATGGGGTTGGAAGGTTAAGCTAATACTTTTAATAACCTAAGTGATTTGAATAATCAACCGCAGTATAATGAGATACCTTATATAGGTCACCTATGTGAGTGCGAAGTGGGGTTGCTTCTTTAAGAATTGGGAAGGCCGAATTCTTTAAAGCCACTCACAAAACTAGGCTAGTATTCCAGGGCCATACCGGACACACAAGTGAGAACAAGAACAATGGTTGGACTAACTCCTGTGTGAGCTGTATTGTCTCGGTTTATACAAATGGTAGAATAGTTCAAGATATCACATTCACTGGTCAGCCAATAAATCTGATAGACTTTCACTACAAAAGGTTCAAGGCCAATAGCTACATTTTCTGATGTCGAGTTATTCTATGTGCTCTCTCTCTGAGTTTTTGTTGTTAAGCGTTGTCTGTTTTTCTTTATTTGGCCAATTTTATTCATGTGGGGGATTGTTGGAAAATAATGATTTTTCGGCAACTTTAATTCGGAATTAAAGTAGGACCCAACAGTCGGTTGAGGTGGATCTGAGTGGTTTGATATTCTCTCAAGTGAGAAGATTACAATATAAAAATGATGGGCCGAAACCATTGAGTTGTGAATGAGAATTGTCTTTAGTGAGCATCAATAGAAGTTGGGCTTGGGCCTAGGCTTGGACTTGGACTTGGACTTAGGTTCAGTCATGGTCTGGACTGGACTGGCCTAGGCTTGTGTATGTGCATGTATTGGACTTAGTCTTGGGCATGGGCTAAATTGTGCTATGGTAGACTAGGTTTGTCTTGTGCATATGTTTTAGACTGGGTGTGGATCGGGTTGTGACCCAATACCCGTATCCATTTTGCGATCCATCTAGTTGGATTACTTAAATAACTTTATATATATATATATATATTTATTTATTTATTCAACCTTCGTAACTCTCATCTTTTGATGATAAAGTTGATGATCATTATACACATTGGAGTTTTACACATTTGTAACTTTAGCCCTAAAGGCTAGAGTTGATAGCCACTGATGTTAGGTTTTATGGTAGCCTTCATGACTAAGACATCTTCCTTACAAGTATAAAAAAGACCTTTCCCGTCCAACTTAGAAGTAGAGTTTGTTAGAGAGATTTTGATGGAAAATGGGGATGTTATTTTGAGATAAAAAAAGTTGGAGATGATTTTTTACTCCAAAGAAAAAATTTCCTATCTTTTGCTAGTCTCTTCTTTGGTTCTTGTTAGAGAGAGTGCAACCATTATCAAGTTCGCCAAAGCTAACAAAAGGTGCTTCGGCGTTAGCCTAGTCTAAGCTGTTATATCCCGGGAGACAGAAGTTGACGTTCCTCCAGCACCCACGGTGAGATGGCTAATCTGTTTTAAGGATATTGTGGTATTACACAGGTTTCGGTTTGCTTCATTTTGCTAGCTTTATTTTATTATGAATTTTTGTAAATTTTAATATGTTTTTTATCTGAAATTCAAAGTAGTTGTTTAATATGAATTTATTTATTTTATTTAAGTATATAATTTATACAACATAATTTACCTGAAAAATTAAAAAAAAAAAAAAAAAAAAAAAAAAAAAAAAAAAAAAAAAAAAAAAAACATAAGAGTGCTAATAAGCATGAATTATTTACTGCGTCAAGAACACAACGTATTCATGTCCCTAACCAATAAAATATTATACTTTATCTACTGTCACTTTGTTATTATAGTCATGTATTCATTTAGCTCCTTAGATATATAGCCAATGTAAAATTTATAAAATATAGAATAATTACTCGCTAATAAGGAAAGAAAAATAGGAGGTATGGCTCACATGTCAATCTCCATCAGCTTCAAGCACGATACATAGATGGGAAAGTAACATTATAACTTTACGTAAAATGTACAAAATTAATTGTCTCTATTGAAAAGTGAGACTAAGGGTTATTTAGGATATTTTAAATAAGAACACTTTTTAACTTCTTACGAAATATGAGATTAAAAATATAAATTGACTTTGAAGTAATATGACAGAGAGATGATATGACTTAAATAAGATGATGTGACTTAAATAAGATAGTGATTTTTTTACTTTTTGATTTCTTTTTTTAAGATGCCAAACTTAAATGAAGATTTTGATATAAGTGTAAAGATGCTAACCATAATTAACTTCATTTTTTTTTTCTTTCTCCTTTGTAAATTTCTTTTTATTAAATTTTTACTTTTTAATTATTTCTAAATTAGAATTCCATAAATAAAATTTAATTGGTAAAAAAAGAATTAATTTTACTGTTTAGTACTTCTAGATAGGGTTGCAAACAAACAGAACTGTTCGTAAACACAATTCAACTTAGTTCGTTAAATAAATAAAAGAGTTCGAGTCTAACTTTTAGACTCGTTTAGTAAAAGAGCGTAACTCGAATAAACTCGTCTCATTTATATTTTTTTAAATTATAAAATAAATATATTATTTATATACTAAATAATATAAAAATATGTATAAATAATAGTATACATATATGATTTATATGTTAAATAATATAAATAATGATAAAATATAAAAATATATTATTTATATATTTAAATAAGGGTTTTTTTTTAAGGTCCCTGGTATTATAATTTTATAGCATAAAGGACACTCAATATTTTTATGATATCTAAGGTCCATCAACATCAATCTAGAGAAAATTCGATCCAGAGAATTTCTCTGGACACATCACAGAGAAAATCTCACCAGAAAATTTCTCTAGATTCAACCCAGAGAAATTTCCCTCTCCACTCCAAAGAAATTTACTTATTCCCAGAGAAAATTCCCTCTCGGTTGAAAAACAAGACACTGATACACACACATATTAGCTCCACTACGGTAGCTTCATTTTTTGAGCTTCACACCGCACACACAGAGCTTCAATCCATGCAAATACACAACCCATGCACACAGTCACACACATACACGGCACACACACACCACAACACACACAGACGGAGGGACTCAATATTCAACACACACACTCTCTCTCTCTCTCTCTCACATGGAGACCCAGCCATTTCACACCAATCAACAGAGTATGGATGATAGCTCGTCGGAGCCACAGAGGCTGACGTCAGAGTCTGATTGTAAAGAGACAAGGAGGAAGACGACGGAGGACAAGGCAGTCCGTGGCGGAACCGAGCATGGCTGATCTAGTTGCGAGGCCGTAGACACGCCGTCGGCCCATACGATCGCCGAGGTATCCGAAGATTAGCTGACCGACGACAGTCCCTAAGAGTGCGATGGCAGCCATAGCGAAGGTAATGGCGATAGGGCCAATGAGTCTCATGATCGGAGGGATACAGAAGAGAGAGATTAGAGTTTGAAATTGGCCATTAGAGAGAGACAGAGAAAGTCGACTAAAGAAGGGCGTCTGGTGTGGTGATCAAAATGAGGTAGAGAGAGAGAGAGAGAGAGAGAGAGAAGCAAAAGTCAAATTTCTCTGATATATGTTTAGGGATCTTAGACATCAAAAAATAATTTTGTAAATCTCTTCCATTACGAAAAATGGGAGAGGGACCCTAAACTAATTTTCCCTTTAAATAATGTAAATAATAGTTAAAGATTACGATCGAGTTTCAAGCCGAATTTGAGCTTAATTAATATTAACAAGTCGAGCTCGAGTTGAATAATCGAGCCTGATAAAAAAAACAAACTGAGCTCAAATTTTACAAAACTCAACTCAACTTAGATCATTTACATCCTATTTATTGACTACTGCCTTTAAAAAAAAAAATTAAAATTATTAAATTTGAAAAAAAAAAAAAAACTAAAAATATCAAGAGAAAACAAAAAGTCAAAAAATTTATGCCAATGCCACTTGGAAAGATGTCATGTGAGTGTTTGGCAAAAATTCAAGTACAATATTTGAGATCTCTAGTATTTTTATTTAACAAACCCATTTAATGCCAAAAAAACTCCCTTTTGTCACTCTAGCAAATTATTAGAAAAGTAAGAATATGTAAAACAAATTAATTTTTTATAAAGCTTATTTTTAACTCATAATCTAGCTATCTAACTCTTAAAGAATAAAAAACACCTCTCAATATTGCTGCAAAAACGTACCCCCAAAAAAAAATAAATAAATAAAATAATTGCGTCCAACCGAATGAACACAGAGCAAAGATATGAAGCATGACTTGAGCATCACTTTAATGAAAATATGATAATGTTCTGCAAAAATATACTGACAACAGTATACAGTTAAGAACTTAGAATGCCAGTTGAAAGCGACATTACGAGATGCAGCAAAAAAATAATAACAAAAACAAAAAATTTCAAATTCCATAATCGTTTTACTCCTAAAAATGATATTTCCACTGAACATAATTCAAAATAATACAAACTCGTTTCATCTGATGTGCCTCAATAGGATCAGAATATCGGTAGTTCCATTTGGTAAGACAATTCATATGTTATCTCATCCACTAGGTCATGCTTTGAATCCATTGAATATTTGAAATTATCCAACTTTGTTTTACCTGCACTTGCGATCAACAGAGTTAATGTACAAAAAAGAAATACATTATTCCAATATGTTATATAGAGCATTTGTACCCATTGTGTTCATCACATTTGAAACAAGCCATTTATTTTCCTAGAGAGATGATCTCATACCAATATTATTATTTTGGGGTTCAAGATATGAAAGAAGAATCCAAAGATCCATCTTTCAAGTTGGAATAGTGTGGACTCCCATAGTGTTTGGTGGTTTGGGTTTGCATCCTTTCGGTTCTTTTGCTTGTCATAACATAAAGCCATTACCACAAAGAATCCAAAGATCCATCCTTGAAGCCATTACGATTTTATACACTTGCTAATGTTTATTTATCAATCAACCATTACAACAAAACAGTATTTTACAATGCTGACCGGTCTTCATAGAATTATGAAACAATTCAACATCCAAAATCAGCACATTAAGGGTTTGACATATAGGCAAGCAACCAAATGTAGTATATGCACTACATGAGTAAGATAAAACTGCAGAAAGTAAATGCTGAAATTGAGTTGAATTAAGCTTTTACCTGTCTTTCCTCTTCCTCCCGCTCACTCCCCATCTAGAAAATGCATAATTTGGTTTGTTGAGTAAGATAAGGTTCTCCTCATAAGTATCAACAACCTTAGGGCATTCAGTAGCATGAATTCCCAAATTCTTAATTTGCTGGTCCGAAGGGTCATATGAAGAAAGCACTCAATCCGTAGCCATTTTTACATCCAACAATACATGACCATTATTTCGCATACCTACTACCCGTGTAATTCCTCCGGTTAGATCAACTGTGAGCTGTTTATACAAAGAATCAACTATGTCGTACTCTTTCATTACCCAAATCGAACAAGAATTGTACCCAAGAGGAGCAAATTCGTAATATAACAAAGAAAGCAATCCCCCGAATACTGAAGCAATGACCATAGTTTCGAGGCCAAAAATACCATCCGGTAACAGCATCGTTTGAAACACCTCATCAGACAGACGAAATGACAAAATCAATGGATCATTGGATATCTTCATATATGCAGGAAAATGAATAGCCCCTCCTAAATAAGAAGCGAATCGCCCAAAAAAAGCTATGGTAATCTCATCCAGAAAAGAGTTGCTCGCTCCACTCAAGATTTTCCACGAGCCCGCGTTAAGGGAGTAAACCTCAATCTGTGTTGTTGGCTCTTCATTGAACAATTTATTTCGATGAAAGTCCACTACTCTAACCACCTTATAATCGTTGGTCCTCGGATCAAATCCAAACCAATGATAACGCGCAGGCGTCCTGATCATAGGCTTGGGAATAGCCATGGACTTTCTAATCGATGGGTTCCAAAGAAAAAACCGATCATTTTTGGAAAGGCAAAACAAACCTTTCGCATACTCAATTGCCCAAAAAGAGTGATTATAATAGCTCTTTATTGGGTATTCAAGAGCTTTATATTCATCAAATGAGTCTTCGGAATCAAGAAATAGTTTGCAGTTCTCTGTTTCGTTATAGAAAGTAGAATCGTATTGCCTAACTATCACGAGTGGGAGATTATCATAGCTGTTTATGTAGGTATTGGAAGCGAGTGAGTGAGTGAGGTGGGTATTGATGAAATTAGCGCTTGTGATGAGAGAGTTCCAAGATTTGGAAACAGACCTGAATTTGATTAGGGATTTGGTGGGTAGTCTCAGGAGGATTTCCACCACAATTTCGTCTGGGAGAAAGTCCGACATTGCTATGGTTCTTCTACCTGAAACCGTGCTCTCTTTTGCTCTTCTTCTTCGTCGTCGTCTTCTTCTTCTAGGGCTTGAGAGTTCGGCTCCCAAACTGAGATTTTGAAATAGGCTATGTTGGCTTGGTTGGAGGATTAATGAAAGAAATAAAAATGGAAAAGGATAAAAACAAGAAAAAAGGCAAATCATCTGAGGTTTAATAAAATTATAAATTCTTTCTGAGATTTTAAAAAATTATATCTCGTTCCATCGTAATTAATGTCCATTAACAGATATCATAAATTGATTAAAATATTCTTTTGATAAATAAGAATAAATTACTTACATCCCTTGAAGTTTGACTAAATTACAAATTCTTCTAAGATTTAGCTAAATTATAGATTCCTCTTGAGGTTTAACCAAATTATCATTTTTAAATAAGTTATGAAATGTAAAATTAAAATGAAAAAATAGTTATTACACTACAAAAAATTAAAGTTTTAGGAATTAAAATTTAGAGAGAAAAATGTTTTTAGATACCAAATATTTTTGTTGCGAAAAACGTCATTATATTTTTAGCTACAAAAATTGAACATTAGTGATTAATTATTATCATTTTGGTATCAAATTTTTTGTCTAAAAAAATAAATCATTTTGAGACCAAATTATTTTGTTCTTAAAAGGCTATTTATTATTGACATTTTTGAATTTTTATCACTAAAAGCCTTATTTTTTACTTTTCAGTGCGGTATTTTAGAGATTATCCTCACGACAATAGAAATTAATCTCTAAATGTCTTTTGCAATAAAATTTTCATTTTTAGAGATCAAAAAAATTGGTGTCTAAAATTCTTATCTGTTGTACTGTCAGATGGTGAAAATATCATAAAATTAACAAATACTTAAATAATTTAAAAACACAAGAAATGACTTGTCAAAAAATTCTTAGAATATGTTTTGTTTGATTTTTAGAAATTTTTTTTTAATTTTTTAAATAAAAATTAAAAATTAATTTGGTTATGAAATAAAAAATAATAAATAAATATTATTTTTATATAGTTTTATCTTTTGAGTGGTTATAAACAATTTTTACAAATTAAATATATTTTTTCATATTTATTTTTATTAAATTAGTTTTTATTTTTTTTAAATTCTGAAAATTTTTTTTCTAAACAACAAATCAAACATGGTTCTAAAAACTTAATTTTTTTTCCATCTAATGTAATTCTTTTGTAAATTTTGTTGATTTATCAAAGGGATTTCAGCAAGGGCAATATCGTCCATCAATTTATATTTTGGTGATGTTAGCTAATCATTCTTAACAATTAGTTAACGGTAAAAGTTAAATTGTTATGCGAATATAAACCTCGGGAAACAGGATATAATTTCTAAAATCTCAGAGGAGAATCTGTAATTTAGCTAAACCTCAATGGAGGTGTTGGTAATTTGCCCAAATAAAAAAATATAATTTTATTTTTTGTTTAGTTATAATGGAAAATATAGAGAAAAAAAATGGCAGAAAAATATAATATCACTCTTTATTTTTTGGGTTTATTTTTTTCAACTCAGCCAAACATAAATGAGAATTTGAAATTAGGCTCATTTCTATTTTTCTTTTCGTTTCTCTCATCCCATCCTCAAATCATACACAACATTAGGGAGTTTTTTTTTTAATATTCTAAAAAAAAAACTATTTAGAGAATTAACTCACTTTTCAAACTATATGGAAAATTAACCTACTTTTTGAAATCGCATTTTCAAAATGCGATTTTAAAATTAAAATTGCATTTTCAACATGCGATTTCAAAAGTAAAATTGCATGTTGAAAATGCAATTTCAATTTTAAAATAGCATTTTGAAAATGCGATTTCAAAAACAGGTTAATTTTTTAAATAGTTTGAAAAGTGAGTCAATTCTCTAAATAGCTTCTTTTTTTTTTTTAGAATATTAAAATAAAAAACTCCACCATTAGGCTCTTTTCTTTTTCATTTCCTAACTCAACCAAACATAATTTGGAATATGAATCATATCAATTTTTTCTCCTTTTCTTTCTATTTCTATTCTCCTAATCAAATCTTCCAATCAAACCCAGATTAAAGTTGGAGCAGAGAGAAATTATTTGGCAAGTGTTTCAAATTGATTTTAAGGGTTAAATAATAGTAATAGTCAAGGATTATAAATTAAAATAACTTGAAATGGAATATAATTGCCACCAAATAAGATTTCGAATTTGTTGCTAAGTAGTATGTGAAATAGTTGCATATTTTAAATTTAGGGTACATTACAAATACATCTCTTGAGATTTGCTTAAAATACGAATTGTTTCCTGTGGTTTGGAAAATTAAAAAAACCTCCCTGTCAAATTTTTTTATTTAACAGAATTGATTGAAAAAGTGAAATTTCTAATTGTTCACTTATACAATAATAAAATTATCTGAATTATTAATTGAAATAAAATTTTAGCATTAACTTGATGATTTATTAATAAAAGGATTTATTTATTATGAAATTAGAAACCTTAGGGGACATAATGTAATTTTTAGAGTCACATGGGATAATTTGTAATTTAAGTAAATTTCAAAAGGCGTGTTTGTAATTTACCCTTTAATTTATTGCCCAATCTTTGATTTACTATTATTATATGTAAGTGATAGCATGTGACTGTTGAATATTAATATTTGTATCTTAATGTTAATCAAACAGGAATTATGAGAATAAATGTGTAATAAATTTTGTAACTGTTAAAAACTTAAAAATGTATTGTGATTTTTAAGGTATTAGGATCCTCTAGAGTGGGATTCCTAAAGTCATCCCCTAAAGTGAAAGATCCAACAGCTCAAAATAAAACTAACCAAAACAATGTCGTTTTGATTAGTAATTTAAAAAAAAAAATGAAGAAGAAGAAGAAGAAGAGAGATCACGCACACACACACACTCACTCTCTCTCTCTCTCTCTCTCTCTCTATACAGTTCACTCGCTCTCCAACTCCTGTTGTCGGGAAACAACAACTTCTTGCCGGAAAACCTCATTTTCCAGCCATAACAATGTCATTTCTCTCAACCTAATCTCTTTTCTCTCTCTCAAAAGACATCTATTTTTTTTTCAGAAATTCTAACCCTAAAACAACCAATTCAGTGATTTGATTCCAAACAGGAACAATTTGAAAAGAAAGGGAAAGCTATCTTCTTCAGAATTAAGTAACTTTTATAAGAAGTTTTGTACAAAAAGAACAAACGCAACCATCAAAACAAAAGAATCAAAGCTATACAGTCACAAACCCATATAGAAATCATTGATCATATATCGTTTTCATCTTATTTTCTAATATTATATAAGCATTGAACATTCAAATTGACATTCAGAGACCCCCAATTGCAAAATTGAAGTTGGATTAAGCAAATAGTTACCTGTTATTCAAAAGATTCTTCACAGCAACACGAGTATTATCAGCCAATACAACACTAGAGACGATACCATAACCACCTTCACTGATCACATTGTCATCAGACAAGCCATTCGTAGCCGCCTCAAGCTCTCGCAACGTGTACCACAGCCCCCACCCTAGATGCAACACCTCTGGCATCGAACCGCTGCCTCCAGACAATGCCGTGTCGTTGCCGCTGGTTGCTCGAGTCTCACCGCTCGTTGGTCGATTAGAGAAGACGACCCTGTGCTCGGCCTTGACGATATCGATATGGATCTCCGCCACGGTGATTGGTCAGTGATCTGGTGCGGCGTCATGGATGATCTCCTGGATTTCCTTGGAGATGATAGGAATGAGGTCGAGCTTGTGGTGGTGGAGGAACTTGGCGGATTTACGGCAGCGAGAGGTGATGCGAGTGAACTGTAGAAAGAGAGAGAGAGAGAGAGAGAGAGAGAGAGAGTGAGTGATCTCTTTACTTTTCTTTTCTTTTTTAAATTTTTTCTTTTTTTTAAATTTTGGTTAGTAATTTAAAAAAAAAAAGAAAAGGAAAGAGATCACTCTCTCTCTCTCTCTCTCTCTCTCTCTCTACAGTTCACTCGCATCACCTCTCGTTGCCGCAAATTCGCCAAGCTCTACAGTTCAGTCGCATCACCTCTCGCCACTACAAATCCCCCAAGCTCTACAGTTCACTCGCATCACCTCTCGCCGCCGCAAATTCGCCAACCTCCTCCACCACCACAAGCTCGACCACACTCCGATCGTCTCCAAGGAAATCCAGGAGGTCATCCACGACGCCGTACCAGATCACCGCCCAATCGTCGTGCCAAAGATCTAGATCGATATCATCAAGGCCGAACACAGGGTCGTCTTCTCCGATCGACCGTCAAGCGGTGAGAGCTGAGCGACGAGCGGCAATGACACGACATCGTTTGGAGGTGGCGGTTCGATGCCGGAGGTGTCGCATGTAGGATGGGGACTGTGGTACACGTTGAGGGAGCTTGAGACGGCTACAAATGGCTTGTCTAATGGGAATGTGATCGGTGAAGGTGGTTATGGTATCATCTCTAGTGTTTTATGGGCTGATAATACTCGTGTTGCTGTGAAGAATCTTTTGAATAACAAGTATCTATTTGCTTAATTCAACTTCAATTTTGCAATTGGGGGTCTTTGAATGTTCAATGCTTATATAATATTAGAAAATAAGATGAAAACGATATATGATCAACGATTTCTATGTGGGTTTGTGACTGTGTAGCTTTGATTCTTTTCTTTTGATGGTTGTGTTTGTTCTTTTTATGCAAAACTTGTAGTAAAAGTGACTCAATTCTAAAGAAGATAGCTTTCTTTTTCTTTTAAAATTGTTCTTGTTTGGAATCAAATCACTGAATTGGTTGTTTTAGGGTTAGAATTTCTAAAAAAAGGAGATGTCTTTCGAGAGAGAGAAAGGAGATCAGGTTGAGAGAAATGGCATTGTTGTGGCCGGAAATGAGGTTTTCCGGCGAGAAGTGGTTGTTTTCGACAACTGGAGTTGGAGAGCGAGTGAACTGTAGAGAGAGAGAGAGAGAGAGAGAGAGATAAATAGGTTTGACATGAGTAGATAAATAATAAAAGTTTGATAACATTAGATTATTTGTTCTGTTTGTGATTTGTAGTTGGTTCATAATTGACAAAATTAAGATTTGAATTATTTTGTAACTGCTAAAAATTTAAAGTATGTCATGAATTTTACAATTGGTGAATTAAAGGTTATTGGCCATGTTAATGTTGGGGGTTACAAATATTTTGAGAGTTTACCATATTCCCTAAATTATATTGTTTAATGTAGTGTGTGATTGGAAATTTATGTGGTTTCTTTAATTTAAAAAATAACATAAAACAAATTATGTGCAAGCAATGATGTTTGTAAATATGATTAGTCTTATTTGATTTTAGTTAATCATTTTGGTCATACCACTGCCATACATATATTTATGACTTTTTTAGCTCTACTTTATTATGTAATCAATTATTATATTATAAATATAAGAGGGAATGGTATTTTGCCTTAGGTTTGCTATTTATAAAATATAAATTAGATTTACAATGGGTAAATGCAATAATATTTGTTTCATACTTTAATTTTGAATTCACCATAAATGTCATTTAATATAATGGGAGACTTTAAATTGTAAATTGATTAGCCTCATAGCTTTTTTAAAGAGTTACAAAGAATTTATATATATTAAAACAATTAATTGGTTATGATATATATCATTTGAATATTGATGATTTTGGGAGTTTTACAAGTTTGAAAAATGCGAGATAAATTCAATTATGTTATTTGAGCAAGTTACATAATTATAATTGCCGGTAGAGTCATTGTCATCTTTGCTTTAAATTATTATTATTATTATTGTTATTTAAAAAAAAGGATTGGAATGTGGTGAATGAAAATATTTGTAAGTTTACAAATTTAGTTTAAGATTGGTTTATTCTAAGTACTAGCATAATGTTAATCTTGCATCATTATTTAGTATAATTGATTGTTGATTTCGAAAAGGAAAAAAAGTTGTTGTTATGTAAATTAATAATTTTATTTTGTCAAAAATAATGGTCATATTATATGCTGTCTCCTCAAATTTCTAATCATATAATAATTATATCTTTTATTAGTAAATTATTAAATTAATTAATAATTTTTAATAATATTATAAATATATTTCAATTAATAATTTAGTTAATTTTATTATTATATAGGAGAGTAATTAAGAATTTAATTTTTTTCTTTTAATTATTTAAGTAAATTTTTTTAATGAGGTGGTATTTGTAGTTTTCATAACTACATAGACAATTTATGGTTTAAGAAAGTCTCAAATAACGTATTTGTAATTTAATCAAATTTTAAATATTTTTTATTGAAAATATTCAAATTGTTTAATGGTTGAAAATAAGGAATTAGTAATTTTGGACTCTTGTTGAATGAATACTTATTAAAAAAATCTTATTTCAAGTACTCCTATTTCAAATAATTTATAAGATATTCTTATATTTCTATGAACAATTTTATCCTCAAATATTTTCTGAACCCTTAGTAACTTGGTGATGTGAACATTCACCTTAAAAAAAATTGATAACGTAAATGTTCATATTAATGCACACTTTACCCTATTATTATTAAGGGTATTTTGAAAATTATGTCACCCTGTTAGCAAAAATCTGGTTTTGGCCAAATCGACAATGTTGATTCAATAGAGAAAATCAATTTTTTACAAACAACAATATATTAAGCAATTGTGATTGGTTCCTTTACCTTGACAGATTCAAGGACTTCTTTGGAGATTGTTGTGTGAAGAAGCAAAGTAAAACAACAACTGAGACTTGATTAATAATACTAAAACTTGTCACTTAATCACAAGAATCAAATTACATGACTTAAGAACTTTCCTTGAAGTGTTATCCTTCAAGTAAAAATTCTTTTATTATAGCAATCCCGGTTTTCTCCGTCATTTATTTTGTTCTGAACTTGAGTTCTGTAGTTGTATGTGGTTGTCTGTATCTCGTTTCCATCCTTTGATTCTTTGTATTTGAGTTTTGAGATGTGTTGGGGACGTTTGAAATAGGTTGGTTGTGAGTTGAAACAAACGGTTGCTGCCCAGGATTTTGCTTCTTCACTCGAGCGAGGGTTTTTGCGCTCGAGCGAGGCCTGGGTATTTGCTTCTTCACTTAAGCGAGAGTTCTTGTGCTCGAGCGAGGATTGAGGGTCTTCAGGTTTCTTTTCTGACGCAGCTTCTGCTTGAGCGAGCTTTCTTGCGCTCGAGCGAGCTTGGTCTAGTGTGTCTCTCCGCTCGAGCGAGCAGTCTTGCGCTCGAGCATGCGTCTGCGTCCTTTTTAGACCTGAAGGTTGGTATTCTTCGCTCGAGTGAGGCTTTTTGCGCTCGAGCTTGCTCGCTCGCTCTATGTTTTGTGTTTCTTCGCTCGAGCGAGAACTCTTGCGCTCGAGCGTGCTTCTGGGTTACAGACCTGAAGCTTTGCATTATTCGCCTGAGCGACGTTTCTTGTGCTCGAGCGAGGTTCTTTTATGTCTGGTCGCTCGAGCGACTGCTTCTTCGCTTGAGCGAGGTTCGAATATATCAGTTGGCAGCAGCGTAATATACATCACTTTTTCATCATCTTTTTCATCGAAACCTTAGATCCGACACTCTCTCTCTCTACACACTCCTTCTCTCTACAAATACTCCATGTTCTAGGAGTCTTCTACCCTAATCCCTTTGTAAGAAAGTTAGAGCTTGGCTTGGGCTTCCCATTGATCCGAAAATTTGCGGATTTGGAGCATCTTGGGTTTCACTCTTCTTCACCTTTGGGCTCTTAATTTCGAGACAGGGATAATCTACTCCTTCTTATGAGTTTTAACATAAATTTTAGTCATTTTGTATAGATGATGGGATTTGGAAGTTTTAGGGAGTTAGGGTTTGAGTTTGAAAGGTACAACAAAGGGATTTTAAATTCTAAACTCCATATGTGTATGTGAATCCTAAATGGGGGTTATTGATGTATAATTGTCGAAATGGTGAGGGTTGGACTTTTGGGTCAATTTTGTGGATTTTGGGAAGTAATGCCCTCAGTGGATTAAATAATTGATTTGTATAATTAATATGGTGAATTATGGAAATATGAAATTGAGTTGAAAATTATGAAACTGGGAAAACATGGACTCGAATGGTGTAGTTGGATTAATTAATCACTCACCTATGGAAATGTTGATAATTTATCTGTTTAGAAATAACTGTTTTGGGCTATTGGTGAAGGATAGTCATGATTGTTGTAGAATTGCATGATGATTAGGTAAATTGAAACTAATTGATTGAAATGTGTCATTGAATATGATGAATGGATTATAACATTAAATACGTTATTGAATTGGTCATTGTATATGAGAACTTGTTTAAATACATTGTATATGTATATTGTTTGGGAGGAGATAGGAGATGTACTCCATTGTTTGGGAGGAGATAGGGGATGGACTCCATTGATAATTAAGTTGGCCGGAGTGTCCAGGGTAAAAGTTCTGAAACCTTTTGTACATCTGACTAATGTTGATAATTGAAGTGTTGAATATATGGAGTGTTGAATATATGAAGTGTTGAGTATACGAGTTGTAGTCTCATTTCGAATTGTTAATGATTGAAGTATTAATAATATGAGTTGTAGTCTCATCTTAAACTATTTAAATGAATAATGACTCTCGCTTATGAATTGACTTGGGTAAATGAACAGAAGCGAATTTGAAATATGGATGTACTTATTGGTGGCCTTGTAAAGAATGTAAATTGGTTCATAAGTGTTAACCATTTACCGAATGCTAATGTTTTAGTTATTTCTCATATTTGATTTAGCGTATCTCTACTGGACTTTGGCTCACCCTACTTGCGACACCATTTTTAGGTACAGGTGACATGCCGCATCTAAGGTCGTAGCTTGGGAGGTCTCAAGGCTGAAGTCTCTGTTCCGGTTGTTTTGTATATGTTATATGTTTTCATTTCAGAGCCAAGGGCTTAAACTTGTAAAGGGCTTCTGACCCTCTTTTGTTGTAACCAAGTGTTGACTTGGAAAGTTGTAAGCCCGTAGGGCATTTACTTTTGTTGTCAACATGTAATACTTTTGGTAACGAACACTTTGATGAATGAACATATTGTATTCTCTTATGCCTATGGATATTATGAATGATTGATTTACGCACTTATTTTGAGGGCGTTACAACTTGGTATCAGAGCGTACCGGGTTTGAATACTTTGGGTACATGGGAAATGGTTAGTACCATAGTGGGTTTGTCTCGCTTGTTAGAGACTTATGTATAATGTTATGTGCTTATGTGATAACATGCTTATGTGACTATATGGGTATGAAATTTACTTTCTAGGATGTTGATTGGATCTTTGGGTTTCTGGGAGTCCTGTTGGAAAGGCACTTGATCACTACCGTTTCTAACTGGAACTCTAGCAACGCCACGGGACGGTCATTTTCCCGAAATGAAATTCGTAAGTGCTTATGTGATTATGTGCTTATGTGGAGTGAATTACAGTTGTCCATCGTATTTGGACGCGAGTGAAATAGCTTCGGCACATTTATGAATGTGCTAATCCTTTTGTTACCTTTATTAGGATGTCAGGACGAGGACGTGGTGGTAGGCGTGGTAGGCCTAGGAGGCAGGAGATGCCTATACCGGATGAAATTCCGGCGCAAGAGGAGGGAATTGGCCAGGCCAATGTGGCCGAGTAAGCAAGTCAGCAGGCTATGGGCGCCTTAGCCCGCGAGATGACAACAGCATTGAGGGAATCCATGGACATTCTCCGGGCTGAGAATCAAGTCCAGGCCCATGTAGCTGAGGCAGGGTTGTCTTTTCTAAGGAGGGAGTTTTTTTGGTTGAATCCAGACGAGTTTTTGGTTGATCCCAAAGAGCCACTGAAGGCTGATGAGTGGCTTGAACAGATGACGAAGATGTTTAAGATGCTTGGCAGCGAAGACGGAGGTTTATGAGTGACCTTGGCGTCCTTCCAGTTGAA